AATTTGGAAAGTTAATGGGACGCGGCGTCACGTTTAATTTCCGGGACAGTATTTAAACGATAGCGAAATTAAGTTTTCTGCAATAAGTTAAAAAAAAAAATATATGTATGAAAAATGAAAAGATGTGCGGCAAAGTTTGGAAGTTTCGCTTTTGTTCTCGTCGAAGACAAAAAGAAAGTACAGATTTTAATTTGAATAGCAATTAATGGGGTGAATGTAATGCAAGGACAGAAGGAAAACCGCATAAAGCAATTGATTGGTGGCAATTTGCGTTTGACGTTTACAAAAATTTCATCCTTCGAAGAAGAGAAAAAAAATACAAACCCATCTCTCATCCAGTTTATTTTATTTTTTTTATAGAATTTACACGAACCTTGTAATTTGCGTGCTTTAAATTCCTTGATGTAAGAGATATTACAATGGAAACTAGTTTATGAACGGCGACACCTCATTCTCTTGGAAAACAAACCTCACACCACGACAACTGTTAAACAACTAAGCTGATAAGTGCCTCTCGTGAGATCCAAGGCGATTAAGGCCGAGATATTACACACAAGTGAAATAATTATTTGTTTTTAGTTACAAAAATAATGCGGATTCGCAAAGATAACAAAAATGAAATTCGATTATATTTGCTTTGAAAAATAAAATCGCCACGTTTATATTTTATTTTTCGTTTTAACAACGTAATAAAACGTAGCTGTAACGCAAACTGCAATACACTTTTATTATATCCTTTTTATTTACTAGTTGTTTTTTTTTTAATTAAAGCAAAAACCTATATGGAATTTCATTCGCGGTTCGGATAACTGTAAAATATTTTATGTCTACTATTTGCTTGTCCCTTAAGATTACGTCTATTCTTGGTTAACTTGTCACCTAATCCCACGTCGTATCTAATCGAATTATTCGTATTTATTTTTATTGGTGAATCATGAAATCGGTTCTATCTTCAAGTGAGCGGAAGAGGACGTCGTAAAATAATCGTTCAGAAAGTCATTTTTGACGCTTGAAAAGAATTTCAATATCAATGAATTTCTTCCGATAAATTTCAGCTTATGTTTAAACTACGAAGCTAAAAGTGAAGATAATTAATAAAGATGATGACATTTGTAGAATAATTGTAGCTTGAACCAAACCATAGTTAAAGCAATATTTATATTCGTATATTTATGGAAGAAAAAATTTAAAAAAAGAAAGGTCTAAAGCCGGAGGATGTGTTGCATTCAAAGTTGCACTCGACGCGGAAGCAAAGTATATTTTCCGCTCGGAGTCGTTGCGGTATTTTTCCTGAAAAACCTTTTACATCGAATCGATACTCCTCAAAAGTCGAAGAAACATCGTCGCAGAGACAGCAAAGAAATGTAAATCAGAGATGGGGAACGTAACAAGAACAAGAGGAAGCAAATTGCGAACCTGAGGAACGCATTAATCTGGATTTATTCAATTCGCAATCTTCGGTTTTCAATCATTCCCTGTTTGATATGTTAATCGCATAAATTACCGGATTCGCTCACTCCGTGCACGCCGCAACAAACAACGTGCAGTAATTTTTAATTCAAGCACACACTCCAGTTTCGTGCTGCGCTCGAAGTTATGTGGATATATTTGTTATTGTTTCGAGCTTAACACTACGACGGATCTATTGTCGCTATTAAATAACAAGGACTATCATAGGATAGTACTTGAGGCACTCAACTCTTTTGTTCCTTCATTTTACGAAGGTGATTATTTGCAAGACATCCGTTTCGTCACGTACGCTCTTGATTTAGTAGGTAAGACCACTCCGGGCGAGCAACGTTGGAAACATTAAAGTATCGCCTCGGTAATGATTCCGAGCAATTCGCACCCATCTGAATATTTAAGATTAATGCCACTTTAACGTGGTTTTTCTGATGGAAGCGTATTTCAATTTAACGTGACGTTTTAATGGGATTGCATTGCTCGAGCAATTAATAAAAGTTTAAAAGTCTGAACCTTGAGCGGAAACTTAACACTTACGTTGCCAGTCGTAAGGATAAAACATGAAATCATGAAGAGTTTTGAAACCGCTGGGAATCCTCGAGAATTGGGAAAACGCGGCCATTTCATTTAATTCCAAAACAATCCCGAGGATAAACTATACAAGAATTGCAACTATTGCAAAAAAATTGTCAAGAGCTTAAGCGAAACTTTCTCTGTTTATTTTTTTTTGTTTCCTTTCTTGTGCACTATCTAGGGAATAGTTTATAAGCACCGTCAACGCCCTAGCCCTTCTCCAATTCCAAAGGTTCGTGCGTTTAGGGGGTTGGCTTTCAATAAATTATTTGCACGGAACGGGTCGAAAGCCGCATACATATCCCATTTATCTTTATTCGATCCTTCAGGAGACGACCTAAAAGCTTGTACTTCGGCTGATTACAGCCGACCACCGCGATTAATGCAATCCTTGTGTAATTGAAATATTCACATCCTCGCAGCCGTAATTTGTGCAGCAATTAAAAAACGCGATTCTCGGCAGCCGTGAGCTGCTCCGCCACCGACAGACCCCGTTACGTAAGAGTTCCGTAATTAGGGGAGCTTTGAAAGCCACTTGGAGTAGCTGCAAAAGAGTCCGGCGGTTTTCGAGCGAAATTATATATTTAGGGGAAACTAAGATTAAGTCGCGCCGCGCCGATTATGATAAACGAGCTCTGGCACTTCACAAACTTTGGCTGTCGTCGCTTCAATATAATATATTCATGGTTAAAATACTTAATAATTTGGTATAATTACCGGTTTTAAATCTGAAAATCCATAGTTTAACTTTAGTTTGCTTATAGTTAAGCAAGCTGTGAATAGGTGATCAAATGCAATGACTTCTGTATAACATAGATAATTTGCTGCAGAAGCCGACTGTAATCGTTTTTAAACTACTGCAAATTCATGAAAACGGCGGCATGCATTCCCTTAAGCAACATGTGAATCAACTCGTTACTAACTATTTGTTACATAAACTAATTGTGGACATTGGCCACTTAAGTAGAGAAATTTCTAACAAACATTATTACCAGTTTAATGTAAATGTAAACACATATGAGAAAATAATTTAGAAAGACGTGTCTATCAAAAAAACAAGACTGTCTTTCAGAGAAACCATAAAACTGGTATAACTATAATTAAACTTGTTAGTCTATTATAAGTTAATTATATCTAGCAAATGAAGATTATCATTAAATACACATAATATTGCTATTATTTAATTTCACGAAAGAAAAAAATAAATTGAATGTTTTGTCTTTTATTAAAGAATATAAATCAATGTAAATGTGATCATTACATTTGTGAGATGACAGTAAATAATTGTCTCATTTGTTTCTAAAATAAAACGCAGTTGCCTTTAATGATTCCGATTAGAGAAATACTGACGAATCAAAACTATTGTGTAACTGTGTCTATAACACACTCTAGTTGATTGAATCGAAGCTTGATTGAAATGAGGGAAACGGCGATAAATTGGAAACGTTCTCGGAGTCAATTGTATACTACGACTTATTCTCTTTAAGTAATATTACAATTAAGAATATTGTATCTTGAATAACTTCGTGTATACTTTGTTGATTATATATATATTGAATATTATCGCAGAGTAAATATTATCATCATTAAGAAGATACCAATTAAGTTCCCATCATCATATGTAATAATTTATCTTCGTCCATCAAATAGGAATATAAAAATATTTTTTGCAAAAATTAATTACTAGTTGATTAATGAATATATTTAGTGCAAAGATTTGTTATTCTAACAAATCGTCTCAATTTCAAAAGATTGTCTATCCATTCCGAGTGGATAAACACTAGTCATTAATCCAAGGATTATCCTATTTCTGTATTATAAATTAACTTTTCTAAGCTGATACATATTAAGTACTCGTAACAAATAGAAAATTTCCAATCATTGTTATATTTTAGAATTTCAGTTGTAATCATGTTAGATCCATAAATTGTTAGTAACGATATTAATAGAACAATATAAATATTAAAATTTATTGGTTCTTATTTATGAATTACTTGTAAATAATGAAAGAAATTATCTAAGTTTATGTTAGGAAAGTTTGCGTCTTTCAGTTAAATGTGACAGCTAATAAATACAGTTTTACTACTATTTAATCATATCATGGTATAACCTAGGACAATGTAGAGAAAGGGAAGTAGTATAGAATACATATTTAATATTGGTATATACATTGAGTGAACAACATTAGTTTCTATTTTATTTATTTTGCGTGTGTACTGACTGAAAGGTGAATAGATTTGGAAAATATTTCATGATTCACCTTTATGTCAGAAGATATTCCCACTTATATTGATTTTATAAATACTATTGATATAAAACAATAAAATTCAATTGGTTTTTAATGGAAATGAATGGAATCAATGCAATCACGAAATAATTTTACATTACGTATTTCAATTTTCAGTATTTTGATATATAAATAGAAATTAATGTAACAATTATTTTCGGGTAAATAATTTCAATGAATTTATGTATGTAAACCTTTCGTTTAATCAATACGTTTATATAACATTCAACTCGTTTGAGACTTGATATATATTCAACTAGATTAGCGTCTCTGGTTATTTACTACAATGGATGGGAAACCGCAGTGTTATAATTGTAAAGCCATTCTAACTGCACACCTTGAGATCGATAGTCGAGTATAATCCAATACAAACTTCATATTTCTAAAATCTACTGCAAAATATCTGTACATGGTATATGGAATAGCTGAAATTCTAAATGAATTTATTTCAAATAAGTTGCGCTTTGTATAATGTATCATATGTTATATGCATTAGCTGTGTTTTGTAAAAAATGCGTTAGTTTAAAAATATGCTAACAAAACTATTTATAGTAAGGTTATTATCATAGGTAGTTTTAGAATTGAAGAGTTTGATAGGCGGTGTGCGAAAGAAGTCCTCTATATTTGTTGAGAAACCTGAAGGGGCGTTTACGAAAGATTGAGAGAAGGAATTTACCTGTGGCATAGCCAGGCTCGGAGCTGGAATCGTCGTCTGAGAAACTGAGCTGAGTCTGATGATATTCAACGTAAGCTGCATGATGGTGATGGGGATGCATGTGATGGGGTACGGCATAATCGACGCTACTGATAGCTGTATGTCTGCTGCCGGTTCTAGTTAAGGTATTACCGGCGGAAAGTGTGCCGGACCTGGAGCCGTGGGCAGCGCACAGGATCCCAGCTAAGGATCCCTGAGGACCTCCGATGCTGAGGTCGAGCGACGGCCGCCTAGACAGGCTTGGCTCGACCTCGAACTCGATGCTGCCAGCTTGTTGATGATGCTGCTGATGTTGTTGTTGTTGTTCACCTAGGTGCTGCATACTGACGTTGGTGATGTTAGCATTGCTTCCACCACCTCCGCCGGAGCTGTAGCTTTGGCTTACGGCGGGCCGATCTTCTGTAACGGGCACCGTCTGCGGCGTCGAACCATTTTGGTTCCTCCTCGGACTCCTGCCCCTGTCGCTCACAGTAGTTGCACTCCAGTATCCCCAAGCCATGGCAAAGAAACTTTTCTCTACACCTACTGTCTTGTGCGATCAATTCATTACAAAGTTCCCAGGAAGATGCCGGATAAATTAATCGGGAAGTCTAATTCAAGAAGACGTTCGTTCGTGCCAGAGGAACTCTCAGTTTTCATCAATTCCAAACCACATTCGAGTCAAAGCACGGATCAACTTTGCTTTTACTTTTTGCGTAGAGGAAGGGTGTCGTTACTCTTTCTTTCTGTTAACTACTCTGATGGAATTATTTCGATATCGGAGGGCAAATGCTACTGGAAATGAATGAATACTGGCGAGCGTCGCCTGGTTTTGTATGCGGCTCGGCGCCGTGCGGATAATGCGCGGACGTCGCGACGCGCCAAACATCTGGCAACGGCGTCGCGACTCGCCGGAAGGCCGGGCGCGAAATCGATAGGAACACCCTCCTCACACGAGGAGAGACCCTACTTTTTAGATTAGAACTCTACCGTGATTCCTACATACATACACTCACAGTTCAAACAAAAAATGGTCCACGGCCAAACGAATTACACGTTGACCAATGTTTCAAAATTGCAAAACATATTTATACCAGTAATATTATTATGTTCCAGCAATATACCCCAACTTTATTCATTTTATGCATGTACCATAGTCAGCACAAACATGGACCACAATATCAACAAATTAACGTAGAAAATTTTAATCAAACATTAGATTAAAATTAAACTTAATTCATGCATTTTCGACTCTAGTATTATTTATAAGTTATGAATTGTAACTTGGGAAATCTAGATTTTTCATATATTGTTGATTCTATATCAACGTGATTTGTTTGATCAATAAGATTATACAGAAAACTACTGATCCAGACATATTTTGTTTAAAACTATCATTTATCAATTTTAAATTAACTCTTGTATTTCTCGAACAAATTCTTATTATTTTGATTTTGTCATAAGTTAACTATAAATTAGTAGATTTTCGATTTTATTTTGAATATTCAAGGTTCTTGTATTGTTTGACCAATGATTACATAGAAATGTTTAAATCTGAATATATTATATAACTTTTTTTGAAACTAATGTAAATGATAGTAAACCAATATATTAATACTTATGATATACTAATAGAAGTAATTTCAAAAGATAGGTAGTTCTAGTATAAAGTACGAATACATTCTAATACTCACGATTGAATTTGGTGTGCGTGGTGTGAAGAATTTAATAAATCGCCCCCATTCAAACAGAGTATTTACCCTGAGTTAATAAAGGTTAACCCATCCAAATAGTAATCGTGACAAACGTTGTTTAACTTTTTTAATCAAACATTTCCTGCTACTAATTATTATATATTTTCATATAATTAAAATAAAAAACGTTTTTTATTACATTTAGGGAAAATATACAATTACATCAAAATTATATCTTTATGAATAAACGTGTAACTTTCAGAACTTTTCCCGATTTGATAAATATCAGAGTAGCGTGTACCTCACGCTGCGCATTTAATATTAAAATATTTCATAATATTAAACAAACTGTTATTACTTATATATACTATAATATCAAAAGATTTATCAATATTGTAAACTTGATATCTTATTTACTATATAAAACAGGATAAATTGTGTAATAAATATACGCATAGTTGTGTATCACAATGAGTGAAATATAATATCGGAAAACAATGGTCTCTGAATCAGTCAAGGTGATCATTATTCACCGTTCCTGAATCCCTTTTACTAAGGCGTATTTATAATTCAAAATGTGGGTAATTCTATATATAGTTCAGATAATCTATGGTTTTTGAAGCATCATATTGATTATAATGTAAATTATAATAATATTACTAATTGATTTTCGAATAAACTTGTAATTTCTTGAAAATGTTCCTTCTAATTGACTATTGATCACAATAGCAATGCGTATTCATCAATTGCAGAAAATATTTGTGGTAGTTAACTTATTTGACAAATTTATTAAGAAATATTAGTAAATTATAAAGAATATTTATATTTTTATTAACGTATACCAAGACTAAGTCAAGGCGAGATGTTTGCAGTTAATAAATGGTTATGACATGTTACAGGGACGTTTGTCAAATAAATTGTCCTCGATACAGAGATCTGCAAGTGTTTGGAATGATTCCAATGCACCAATGTTGCGTTGCAAGTGTATAAAGAAGATATTGGTTGAAGTAGTATTCGTGGCAAAGAGCCATTGTGGTTTGTTCTTCACCAGATGTTGTATTCTACCGCAAAATTTTAAATTAGCTCAGAAATATTGGCTCAAATGTTTGTGTCAAATACAGAATATTTAATAAATTTAAAAATTTCTTAAATATATATAAATAAATCACAAATTAAGTACAACTTATCATATAGCGTTTATAAATAAATAAATTTGTATTTACTCCATGTAGAAAATTGTAATAAAATTATTGGTATTACTAATGCAGACACCGTTATTCTCTGGCTTTTAGTTTCCTTTTTAACTAGGAAGTTCTTCAACCGTGAAATACGTGCAAATGTCTGTTATATCAATACTCAAACAAACCATCTCCGTTCTAGTAGAAAAGCATTCTACTTGTACCAAGTTGGAAGTAGGTTCCAGTACGCCATTCAAGTATAACCAGTAGTGCACTTTGCTTGTCAAATATTCTCAATGAACATCGATATTTTATACTTTTTATAATTATTAAATCAATACAAACTTTTTTAACTGTTATGTTCTAATTGTCAAATCTGAAACATTATATCATAACAATGTGTTTAGGAGTATATATATAAAGAGGAAATCCTTTATTGATACTATAGTTTTACTTTCATGGTATAATCATGGTTAAAATCAAGTAAAAATTGTAAATAATTCACAAATTTCTTCTAAACTTTATAAGCTTATTTACTTCAAACTATGTGTTCTCGTTTGAATTATTGCATAATAAAATTATCGTAGCGTTGAAATGAATGGAAATATTATTATGAGGGTTGCAATTTATCAAATTCTTGGAATTAATAAGTAAAACATAAGGAAAAAAAAAATATATATTTCGCTTATAAATCCACCCCTATGTTGTTTATAACGAAATTAACAGAGAACTTTCCAATCAATCTTAATTAATGGAGTGTATTTTTGGGGGCTTTTGTGTGTTTTTACTGCGAGAGCCTCGAAAATTAATTCCCCCATCGTAATCAATCTGCGCTGCAATATTGAAAATTTAATAAGCGCCCCCGATGAGAATGGAGGGGTCGTCCGTCCTGATGAGTTCCAATATTACGTCACGCCTGTACATTATGCAACGCCAGTTTATTACGGGGCAATGCCTCAAGGGGGGTGAGATTTTCATAAGCAAATTACTCGTTCCATTTTATGTCCATTCACAATTACGTACATAAAGCATAAAGTAAAAAAAATATGCTTCCGTGTTGTTATTAGAATTCAACCCTTCGAGTTCTTTTCGGCCCTTTTAATACACATAATTTCGTGGCTTTTGTGTGTACGAAAATGATCGCGTGTTACCAAAAGAAAAATTGTTTCCGCGTAGACTTATTTATACACTTTCGTACCGCTACACTCCATCATGCAGCAGATTATGATAATGGTTTCTTGTAAAAATGTATGCACTCACAGAAATGACTCTAATCTCACGCTGACATTTCGTTACTGCTGCAAATAAATCACAGTCCAGACTGTTTATTGCGCCAAAACGGTTCATTTCCGAAAATAAAAACGCTCACATTAATTATTAACTACAGGTTTTTATCTTAAGCACTTTCCTGATCAGGTAAGTTATGTTGAAAAGAAATATTATGAGTTATTACAATATGCTAATGGATCATTCTTATTTTGTTTATCCAAAAGGTAACTCACCATGCATGATGAGCTCAGATTCATGATTGATCTCGTACAGCCGAATAGCTTCATCCAATTCAATTTGGGATGACATTGTGCATGGATCCCCCTCATCATCCACCCACTTCATGGTGAATTCCTGATCCAAAGGAAACCTGCATATATCCCTCATCTCGGATTGCAGCTCATCCAGTGTTATATCCTGCTTCACATAAGTTATAAAAATCTCCCCATTGTAGGCTATCTTAGCCCTGATTTCTCTTTGAGTAGGCATCACTAAAACAAGAATTCCACAATTACAAACAAACCCAGAATTTATAGTTAAACAACATCCAGTGATACAAAACAACAATTACCTTTGTTCCTATCAAAATAGATAATCTATTTCAATTGATTAGATCAAAAACAAAGTGATTGTATGTAAACACAGATTGTTGAGAGCTCTACAAAACGTAGAGCTTAAGGCAATATGTGTTAATTACTAATTAAATTCTAATCTAGTTAGTCATGTATGAAAATTGCAGGTAAAAAGGTGAATCTACACCTCTTCTTTTTTTAGTGTAAGCTGAACAGCGATTTTTCCTACAAAAATTGTAACTCACCGACAAACAAAACACAACAGTAGGAAACAAAACAGACAAACCAAAACAAAAACAAACAAAAACTTGGGCGAAAGGATCGAATTATCCAAACATAAAAATGTTAAATATAGAAGACAAAAATGATATTCCGATGAGTGTCTTGCTTAGAGTCGGTTACTTATTTGTTATTCTGTTGGCAATGCAACTGTTGCTGAAGAACAGCTATATTCGTTATAATTTATTACAGTTAATCCTTGGAAACTTCCTTAGAAATAAATTTCATATTAATAATATTATAAGTATTTATTAACATAACACTTTATTGTTATATAATTAAGGTTACTATTAGAGATTTGTACCATTACCAAAAATAAATCTGTGTTCATCATATGCAATAAATATGGAGATGTGTGTATGAAGTTGCATATATTAAACACTTAGTTTTTGTAGACTTTTACTTAATTTTTTTTAACAATATTCTCTACTTAATTCATTTTATTTTCAACACTAATTAAATGTCCTTTTTTTGTAATAATAAAAATTTATAACTAATAGGAATTTCTTGAATTATATAACTCTGATCAAACTTTATTTACAAAGTATTTAATATGAAACGGATCGGATTTTATTATGCATGTTTTTAGGGTTGTTGTTATACCTTTCTGATAGTTTCATTATAATGCATGGAACATGAGGCAGTAAAAACTTACAAACTGTGCACATAAAACAAACTTTTTAAATTTTAATGATGTTTCTGCAATCTTCTTTATTTATTATACAAAATGTTACAAACAATCTTCTATTTCAATTAATATTCAATTACTTAATTTATACCAACAGAAACATGTCAAAATGTCTACAAGAAAGTTGATAATACTGTTGAAAGAAGATTATACTGTTTTGCATTTGTAT